TTCAATCAATTCAATAGTAGCAACTTTATTTTCAATAATTTCAAGTCTTTGCATAACATGCTCCAAAGTTAACATGGTTCCATTAACCAAAAGAGGTGGTGAGCCAAATAAATCTAACATAGCATTATAAGAATCAAAAGTATGGCTACCCAAGAAGTTCCCTTCGGTAATGGTATCGAGGATATGTCTATACCAAGGATTAACACCTACATAAGAATTGTGGAGAAGAACTGAAGTAGATTGCTTCCTGGTAGATCTATTTTGAGCATTGCAAATTCTATACCAAGCATCTTTTAGATTTTCTCCCTCCCTTTGTTTAAAATTTAGAACTTCATTCTCGGGAGACAACGGAGAAGATATTAGACTAGCCATGACGACAAGCAAACAAACTAGCACACGAGTAAACAAGAGCAAACGGGCAAAAGAGGCAAATAGAGAGGGAGGATAGAGAGAGAAAGAGAGAGAAGGCGAATAAAACAACAAGGGTGAAGTGGGGGAGAGGAAAATGAGAGGCAAATGGCAAATAATGTAATGCGAGAGATAGGGATTGTGATGGGTACTTGGTATGTTGACTTTTTGCGTAGACTCCCCGGCAACGGCGCCAGAAATCCTTGTTGTTACCTCTTGAGCTTGCGTTGGATTTCCCCGAAGAGGAAGGGATGATGCAGCAGAGTAGCGTAAGTATTTCCCTCAGTTTTTGAGAACCAAGGTATCAATCCAGTAGGAGGCCACGCTCAAGTCCCTCGTAACTGCACAAAACGATAACTACTCGCAACCAACACGATTAGGGGTTTTCAATCCCTTAACGGTCACTTACGAGAGTGAGATCTGATAGATATAATATTTTTGGTGTTTTTGGTATAGAGATGCAAAGTGAAAAGAAGAAGGCAAAGTAAAAACAAAAACAAGATTAAAGTGATAGAGATTGATATGATGAGAATAGACCCGGGGGCCATAGGTTTCACTAGTGGCTTCTCTCAAGAGCATAAGTATTCTACGGTGGGTGAACAAATTACTGTTGAGCAATTGACAGAATTGAGCATAGTTATGAGAATATCTAGGCATGATCATGTATATAGGCATCATGTCCATGACAAGTAGACCGAAACGATTCTGCATCTACTACTATTACTCCACTCATCGACCGCTATCCAGCATGCATCTAGAGTATTAAGTTAAAAACAGAGTAACGCTTTTAAGCAAGATGACATGATGTAGAGAGATAAATTCATGCAATATGAAATAAACCCCATCTTGTTATCCTTGATGGCAACGATACAATACGTGCCTTGCTGCCCTTTTGTCACTGGGAAAGGACACCGCAAGATCGAACCCAAAGCTAAGCACTTCTCCCATGGCAAGAACTACCAATCTAGTTGGCCAAACCAAACGGATAATTTGAAGAGACTTGCAAAGATAACCAATCATACATAAAAGAATTCAGAGAAGATTCAAATATTATTCATAGATAGACTTGATCATAAACCCACAATTCATCGATCTCAACAAACACACCGCAAAAAGAAGATTACATCGAATAGATCTCCACGAGAGAGGGGAGAACTTTGTATTGAGATCCAAAAAGAGAAAAGAAGCCATCTAGCTACTAACTATGGACCCGAAGGTCTGAGGTAAACTACTCACACTTCATCGGAGAGGCTATGGTGATGTAGAAGCCCTCCGTGATGACGGCCCTCTCCGGCGGAGCTCTGGAATAGGCCCCAAGATGGGATCTCGTGGATACAGAAAGTTGTGGCGGTGGAATTAGGTTTTTGGCTCCGTATCTATTCGTTTGGGGGTACGTAGGTACATATAGGAGGAAGAAGTACGTCGGTGGAGCTCCGAGGGGCCCACGAGGCAGGGAGGCGCACCCCCACCCTCGTGACCGATTCTCTGATGCCTTGGCATATGGTCCAAGTCTCCTGGATCACGTTCAGTGAGAAAATCACGTTCCTGAAGGTTTCATTCTGTTTGGACTCCGTTTGATATTCCGTTTCTTCGAAACACTGAAATAGGCAAAAAAAACAACAATTCTGGGCTGGGCCTCCAGTTAATAGGTTAGTCCCAAAATAATATAAAATGGAAAATAAAGTCCAATATAGTCCAAAACAGTAGATAATATAGCATGGAGCAATAAAAAATTATATATATGTTGGAGACGTATCAGAGGATACGGCCTCCGTGACTGGGTCTATCCACCCGCCCTTGGATGGTGAAACTGGCTCCGAATTGTGGGTCGGAGCGGCTGCCAGTGCGATCTCCTGAATACGGTCTGATGGTAGAGCTAAATCGTACTCATTGTGGCCGCATGGCGCACAAGGCAGGGGCTCGAATCCGTCGAAGATCAAGTCTCCGCGGATATCGGCCGTGTAGTTTAAGCTTCCAAACCTGACCTGGTGGCCAGGGGCGTAACTTTCGATCTGCTCCAGATGGCCAAGCGAGTTGACCCGCAGTGCGAAGCCGCCGAACACAAAGATCTATCCGGGGAGAAAAGTCTCACCCTAGACTGCATCGCTATCGATGATCGTAGGAGCCATCAAGCCTAACGGTGATGACACAGAGGAACTCTCAATGAAAGCACCAATGTCAGTGTCAAAACCGGTGGATCTCAGGTAGGGTGTCCTGAACTGTGCGTCTAAGGCGGATGGTAACAAGAGGCAGGGGACACGATGTTTTACCCAGGTTTGGGCCCTCTTGATGGAGGTAAAACCCTACATCCTGCTTGATTTATTCTTGATGATATGAGTATTACAAGAGTTGATCTACCACGAGATCGGAGAGGCTAAACCCTAAAAGCTAGCCTATGGTATGATTGTATGTTGTCCTACGGACTAAAACCCTCCGGCTTATATAGACACCGGAAAGGGCTAGGGTTACACAAGGTCGGTTACAAAGGAGGAGATATAAATATCCGTATTGCCTAGCTTGCCTTCCACGCCAAGTAGAGTCCCATCCGGACACGAGATGAAGTCTTCAATCTTGTATCTTCATAGTCCAACAGTCCGGCCAAAGGATATAGTCTGGCTGTCCGGAGACCCCCTAATCCAGGACTCCCTCAGTGCCCCTTGGGCACAACCCACATAATCACTTGGGGGCTTGGTCGTATTCAAACCATAGCTACACCTCTTGATTGGCGTAAGGCCACCAGGGAAATCACTTGGGTGCTTGGTCGTATTCGAACCATAGCTACACCTCTTGATAGGCGTAAGGCCACCAGGGAAGTCACTTGGGGGCTTGGTCGTATTCGAACCATAGCTACACCTCTTGATAGCCATAAGGCCACCAAGGAAATCACTTGGGGGCTTGGTCGTATTCGAACCATAGCTACACCTCTTGGTAGGCATAAGGCCACCAGGAAAATCATATTGGGGCTTTTGGTCGTATCCGAACCATAGCTTAAACCCTCTTGATTAGTGCAACACCACAATTGTGACTATTTAAATCTTTTTTGATTTTTTCGGTTTATAATGCTGTATGATTTGTCTATGTTTATTAGCCTGGCCTGGCCTTTGACTATAAATCACCAGCAAGAAGAAACTACTGTCCGATGTTTATTAATCTGGCCTAGGCCCGTTCATAAACCGGCAAACAGCTGATGATTACCAGTATTCAAGTTATGGGTTATCACCCTTATTATACTGGCTTGCTAAAACCAGGAGTGTGATAAAATATCACAGGTATGGTATATCTTGCATTATACTCCCTCTGTTCCGAAATAGTTGTTGTTGGGGGATTTTTCAGACCAGGTGGAAACGAGCAAATGTACAAAAATACCCCTGATTTGAAAACGAGTCATCGTCTTCCTCCGCCAGGCTCCTCCTCGTAGTCTTCCTCCGCCAGGCCACCTGCGCCCTCCACCTCCTCCAGCTGCTAGTCCGGCCACCTCCTCCTCCGCCCTCTACCTCCTCCTCCTCCTCCGCCTGCTCCTCCTCCTCCTCCTCCGCCCAGTCTGGTGGCCACCGCTCCCAATTTGATCACCGCTGCCCCAGCCTAGCCGCCCCACCTCTCCTCCCAATCTAGTCCTCGCTACACCAACCTGGTCCTCTCAACCGCACTAACCAGCCTGATCCTTGCTGCTCCCCCGCCCGGTCCTCGCTGCTCCCCTGCCTGGTCCTCGCCAGGTACTCCTCGCTGCTCCCAATTCTTATCAGTTTTCGCCAAATGCAGAATTGGGAGAATTTGTTGATGCTTTTAGGTACAATAGTCTGTAAAATTGATCAGGAGACATTCAATCAGGAAGAATTTGTTAAGACCAATAACTATGGCAATCAGACAAGATCATCACCCTCACAATTGGCATCAGAAGAAATTACTGGAGTGTAATGATCAATTGGGAAACCTGTAATAAAGGGCAACCTGGTGCATGTAGCTCCCGCTTGCGCAGGGTCCAGGGAAGGGTCCGACCACTTTGGGTCTATAGTACGCAGCCTTTCCCTACATTTCTGTAAGAGGCTGTTTCCAGGACTTGAGCCCATGACCTCATGGTCACAAGGCAGCAGCTTTGCAATTGGGAAACCTGTAATGCATGAGAAAATGATGTTGTCGATGTCCTCCTGCTGATGTTGTCCAATTGTCAAATTTAGAGATGATGATCATTGTTATGCACCATTTGTCCAATTGCAAACATGCCTACAGTTTCAACGAGTCAATGAAAACAAATTCAATAGTCCATTTGAGATCAATACTTGGATATTTAAAGAACTTTCTATAAAAGGGTGTATCCTGATGAATGATACCAACAGTAAGAAAAGCCAACAGTCCTGACAGTAAATAAGAATGAAAATTGTGAAAAGTGTGAATGACAGATTAGTGTTGTCATGATTACACCTAGGGAGTATACTTATAGAGCCATCTAGGGCAAGGTGGCAACATTTTGCCATGTGATTTTGTGACAGCAATGTCCACATGCTTCTAATAATGGGGAAAAAGAGGTATCTCAATCCAATGGAAATATGGGATTACTTACTCTGTTGACATAGTGTGTGTGTTGATGATCTCACTCACAGGATGGATAATTGCTTCTTTTCCCTGACACAAGCAAACCAAATGAAATGAGATCTTATTTATTTACAATCAAATCAAAACAAGGAAGCAAGGAAAGGTGAAAATGGACTGCACTTTACTTTACTTCATTTCATTTCAGACAAGCAAACCAAAAGAGAGCCTTAAATGGACTGCACTCATCGAACTATAGTACTGGATCAAGAACTACTCATCGAACTACAGTACTGGATCACAGAACCCATTTTAAATCAGAGTTGCAGAGTGAGGGGCTCACCGAGGTAGAAGGTCCTGGCATAGGCGTCGCCAAGGCGGCCCCAGCCGAGCTTGGCGATGACCTCCTGCTCCAGTTGCTCGTCCCGCCACCAGCAGCGCCTGCCCGCCTCGGCCTCCCACGCAACATTCTGATGCAGAGGCTGGGGGTTATTCTCCTTTTCAAAAAAAAGTTAAATACTCAACTTGGTACAGGCAACTTAATTTACTTCAATTCAGGGTACAGGCAACTTAATGAAACCCTCAACTTGGTAGAACTAATATAGCACCACATGCAACAATTGATTGTGATTAAGTTGGGGCCTACTCCAGTTAAAGTTGGAGTACATGAGTATTTGACTGGAAGACAAGTGAAGCTACAACATTGTACTCCAGTTAAATCAGGATACAGTAAGCTTGAATTTCAAGATAAAACAGTTCAGTATAAATCATCACAGGAGTCTTGCTTCAAAATGCACAGGCAGGATTCTATGTTCGCCATATCAAATCATCATAACACTAAATCACAGTTAAATAATGTACTGATCTGTAGATAATGTAGATAATGTACTCCTGTCAAACAAAATAATGTACTGATCTTTGAGTACTGAACTGTTTGATATACTGATCTTGGAGTACTTAAAATTTTCATTTTAGTTTTAATTAACTTAAATGTAGTGAAGGAAGTACTCCTGCACTCATACATTGCCTATGGTTCTGTTAGGAAACCCATTTTGAGCAGGAGAGAGCAAAGCTTACCCTGCAGACCCAATTCTATCAATTTCAAGTAACCTCCAGGTTGTAACAATTCACCCACAATTCTATCAGGCTCTGTCAGGTCTCTCTCTATGACATGCACCCGTCGATCATCCTGTGCCACCAACACATAAAGCAGGATATAAGCAAAAAATATCCAAGATAACAGTAATGCACCATTCGATCATGATGAGCAGCAGAATTGCAATTTTACTTGTTATTATGTCTAAAAACTCTAGATGAAACTTTTGTACTTTATCACTATTGGCTGGTACACAATCTCTGAAAATTTCAAAATTATAAAAGGAACTTTTCTTCCTTAATTTGTTGTCTGAACTACTCCAAAATCAAAACCAAAAAAATCAAGTTCAATAACTCGTTCAAGATTTTTCTATTGATGATATATCATTGTCAGAGTTGCTGTAAGCCACAGAAGAAAATAAAGTGGGTCCTCAAAGTAGTTGGGCATCTCATTAATTATGCAAAGCTAGAGGACATCAAGTCTCTGTTGGAGCAAGTTGAACGAGAGGGCATGGAAAAGACTAGAGAATGAGAGAAGATAATAAAGATGACTCTTCCTCCTCTTTGCCCATTTATGAGTAATTTACAGTTCTGTCGCCCATATGTTCTCCTTAATTTAGCCAGAAAGAGAATAAGTAATTTCAGCAAAACTTGTAGGGCAGCCCTGGCATGATTTTTGCAAGGCAAATAACAAACTTATTAAAACAAATTTCTTGTAGTTGCAGAATCAGCCATGCATAGAAGAACTCTAGCCATCGATCGCAATGCAAGGCCTCGTGTTCTTTTAGTACTTGAACAAACATTAAGTAAGACTCTCTGCAGTCTACACACTACAAATCGAACAGCTCCCCTAACACGGCCCTGCTTGGGAGCTGTATTACCAAGTTTAACTGAAACTAAAACTACCAGCGCAGGTATACTGAAACTTAATTTCAGTTAATCTTGTCAATTTCAGTTAATCATTTTGTGTTGCCTTGCCTAGAAAATGTCGAGTATATAATGCATGGTGTTCTATATTTACATTTATAAACCGGGCCAAATCCACCTTCGCCAATTTTGTTTTCCTCAGAAAAGTTACTTGTAGCCTCTAATATCTGATGAAACTCACATACTGAAAATTCAGACAACTCTGCTTCCACTTCCCAAACAAGTTCATCTCCTTGAAACTGGTGAGTACTTTTTTCCTGTAACTTCACTTTACCTGAAAATCGTGAACTGGCACTATCAATATTGATCTCTGTAATTACGACTCTTTATATTTATGTTGAGCATTTTAGTAATTAACTGGCTAATTTACCCACCTTTTGTGTGCCTTTTTCTAAGCCGACAACAGTAAACGATGAAGCAGCAGAGAGCAACCAGTGTTACAGTTGCAGCTACCGATAAGGCTATTACCCAACATACGGGTAGATTTACCACCCAACAGCAACGATTCATTCTGAGCAAGTACTACTGACGATTGTTTTACTACCAAACAGCAAAGAGATGAGCACATTGTATTGAGCAAGTAACCAGCGGAAGGTCAGCAATCGACTAACTGAGGAGGATGCAGCAGGCAATACCGAGAGAACACAGCATGCGCGGATCGAATGCGTCAGCGAGGTGGGGACGTCTGACGAAGACGACGACGTGTGCACCGTGAGGACGAAGACTCTGCTCCAGATCCGCCGCTCCACTGCTCCGGCGCTGCTCCCGATCCACCGCTCGGGTGCCGCTCCACATCCATGCCTCCCTCGCCCAGATCCAGCGCTGGCGCTCCACATCCATGCCTCTATTGCATATTCCAGAGTAGAAGCTCGTCGCCGGCTCAAAAGATTGATTTTTTTACCTCCGGGGTGTGAGTGGAGGCGGGGTGGTGGAAAGGAAGAGGGAGAGGGAGAGGGAGGGTAAGGTCAGCGATGGGGAGAGGGGAGGGTGAGGCCAGCGATGGGGAGAGGGGAGCGTGAGGCCGGCGAGCGGCGGGGAGAGGGGAGGCAGGTGAGAAGGGGAAGGCCGACGAGCGGCGAGAAGCGTGCGAGAGAGCACGAGCGAGTGAGTGCGGTTGGGCAAGCGAGTGAGCGAGCGAGTGCGAAGGCCGGCGAGGGCAAAATTGGAAAGTGGGGATATTTCTGTACTACGTGAAAGTTGAACTAGAAACCTCCATCGACAACTATTTCGGAACAGAGGGAGTATATGGCTATTTTTATGCCTAGCCATTGTTATAAGCTATGTTGTTGGGCAAGATAACCCGTCTAGCGGTACACCGCTAGGACACTTTTTATTCCAGGAGCAGATTCCATGGTGCTAAAGTATCATAAGAAGACATAACATATATTAACATGGCGGATTAACAGTCTCATGCAAAGGAAATATGCACGATGGCATAGCAGACCAAGCGTTTAAACTAGCCTATTACAAGGCGGTTCTATGCCCATAAGAACAAATGTTTCAAACAAATATTGCAGAGAGAAGAAGCTAAAGCGGCTGTCGGTTTACAGATCTTGATCAGGCTGGCTTGAAGGTTGTGGGTCATCCTGGGCCGGTTCACCCTCCTCTTCTCTACCCAGTTGCTGGAAGTCATTAGTTGACCAATCGATCCCAGTTAAGGCTCTGAATACAGCTTCATCGCTTATAAGTGAGGAAGGGTCAACATCAGGAGCATAAGTATGCTTACGGATCAGCGGAATAAGATACAGAGCGTTGGAACTTGGCGGATTAACCTTCTTGTTGTTGTCATCATAAATAGCTTGATAATGGGACATATCAGTTTCTTCAGCCAATTTGCTAGCCAGTGGATGCATCTCCCTTGTCAAAGCTCTGAGGTCATCATTCTCATAGTCTGATCCATCCTCTTTTATGCTGGGATAGCCCTTTCCAAGATCGGGCGGATCAAGATCAGAGATCCAGGCTTTGGATCGCGTCAATGCGGTAAGAGCACCCGCCCTGGCAGCCGATTTCTTCAATTCCTCAATCCAGGCAGGCATCACAGCTAGCCTTACCAATGTATCTTTGATCAAAGTTGGGGGCGGTTTGTTATGAGAAGCTGTGCAGATGACCCGCTGTACGCCGGTATATAGCTTTTCTATAAAGGTATAGGCAGCCTTCAGACTTTGACGCATGTCTGAGCCCAGATGAGCAACATGACTCCCTGCATTGGCAAAATTGGTAAACCGGCAGTCTATTTGATAATACCTATTTACGGTTTGTGAAGATGATTACTCACCAAAGACATCAGTAGTCATGGAAGTTATTTGCCGCTTTAAGACAGTTAATTCCTCCATGACCAGATTAAGGGCCGCCTCAGCATCCTCCGCGTTCTTCAGCAGAGTGGCTTTCTCTGTATCCTAGCCCGCCCGCTCACTCTTAAAGTTCTCTTTTAGCTTTTCCATAGCCGCTAAAGCGTTGGTCAGCTCTTCTTTGGCCTTGGAAGTCTTGGCTTGTTGAGTTTTGATATTCTCTTGAAGGTCGGTGACTTGGGATTCCTTTTTGCTAAGCTTAGCCTGCAAGAGGTATGCAATTTGTAAGTTGGCAGTATACATTTGAAGTCCCAAGCACATGACAAGTCATACACTTGGCACTTGGGGGCTAATGGCTATTGTTTCTTCTCTAAAAATATTACAAACTCATATACTTGGCACTTGGGTACTAATGCATATTTGCTCAAGTTAAAGAATAATGGATTTTGCTGCCATCAATGAACTTGGTGGTTCATCGGTTTACACAGATTTGTACATGAATGTTGAGTTTGATAAATAGGCCCCGGTTCACCTTGAAGAGATAAGCCGGCCCTTAGGTGCCACAGATGGAAAGTTGAAGTATTTTTCTACAAAGTCCCGGTTCATATCAGTACTATAAACCGGCCCTTGGGGACTACTGGAGTTAGTAGCACTAACACGGTTATAAGGGAAGAGTAGTCATACAGAAATCAATAGTGTTTACCTCATATCGCTCCTTCATCATGTTCAATAACCCGGCTCCATAGTCATGGTTGGTGTACAGCCGGTTTAAAAACCCAGAGTGGATATCTTGGGCGCTGAGATGGGCATAACTTTCCAGATCCACCTTCCACTTGCCTTTATCTATAGAAAAAATTCTTCCTTGGTGTTATGTTTCGATAGAGCAGTGGGGTTGCCTGGGGCTGTATAGCTGATGCCAGTAACGACAACATCGTCCGGTTTATCATCAACAGCTTTGGTTGGGCTTGGCGGTTTATCGTCATGAGCCGTCGGATCAATTTCCACTTGCTCAACAAAGGTGTCATGATCTTGTGCTGGCGGATCATCAAGGACAGCATCAGTATTTTGCTTAGACGGTTCTGGAGTCTTTTCCAGGTCAGCCGCCGTGTCATCATCAGCCGTTTTACTCAACTTGGCTGAGGGAGTCCTGGATTAGGGGGTGTCTGGATGGCCGGACTATACCTTCAGCCGGACTCCTGGACTATGAAGATACAAGATTGAAGACTTTGTCCCGCGTCCGGAAGGGACTTTCCTTGGCGTGGAAGGCAAGCTTGGCGATACGGATATGCAGATGTCCTACCATTGTAACCGACTCTATGTAACCCTAACCCTACCCGATGTCTATATAAACTGGAGGGTTTTAGTCCATAGGACGACATCCACATCAACAATCATACCATAGGATAGCTTCTAGGGTTTAGCCTCCTCGATCTCGTGGTAGATCTACTCTTATACTACCCATATCATCAATATTAATCAAGCAGGACGTAGGGTTTTACCTCCATCGAGAGGGCCCGAACCTGGGTAAAACTTCATGTCCCTTGTCTCCTGTTACCATCTGGCCTAGACGCATAGTTCGGGACCCCCTACCAGAGATCCGCCGGTTTTGACACCGACATTGGTGCTTCCATTGAGAGTTCCTTTGTGTCATCGCCGTTAGGCTCGATGGCTCCTACGATCATCGATAGGGATGCAGTCCAGGGTGAGACCTTCCTCCCTGGACAGATCTTTGTCTTCGGCGGCTTCGCACTGCGGGCCAATTCACTTGGCCATCTGGAGCAGATCGAAAGCTATGCCCCTGGCCGTTAGGTCAGATTCGGAAATTTAAACTACACGGCTGACATCTGCGGGGACTTGATCTTCGACGGATTCGAGCCACTGCCGAGCGCGCCGCACTGTCACGGCGAGCATGATCTAGCTCTGCCGCCGAACAGTGCCCTGGAGGCCGCATCCGCATCGGCTCCGACCCTTAATTCGGAGCCAACTGCGCCGATCGAGGATGAGCGGTTGGACGCCACCTCGGGGGCTGTAACCCCAACGGCGATTGAGCCAAGCACCAGCCCCATACTCTGCGAGACCCGTGACTCCAAGGAGCCGGACTCCTCTCCGGACTCCGAGCCCCCCGCGCCCCTGCCGATCGAATCCGATTGGGCGCCGATCATGGAGTTTACCGTCGCTGACATCTTTCAGCACTCGCCTTTTGGCGATATCCTGAAGTCACTAAAGTCTCTCTCTTTATCAGGAGAGCCCTGGCCGGACTACGGTCAGCAAGGTTGGGGTACGGACGATGAAGAAATTGAAAGCCCACCCACCACCCAGTTTGTAGCCACTGTCAATGACTTAACCGACATGCTCGACTTCGACTCCGAAGATATCGACGGTATGGACGCCGATGAAGGAGATGATGAAGAACTAGCGCCTACTAGGCCCTGGAAAGCCACCTCGTCATAGACATATACATGGTGGACACCCCAAAAGAGGGAGATGGTGATGGAACAGCGGAGGATGACCCCTCCAAGAAACAACCTAAGCGCCGGCGTCAGTGGCGCCGCTCAAAATCCCGCCAAAACAAAAACGGTGATTCCAGCACGGGAGATAATAATACCCCGGAAAGCGCCAAAGAAAACCCCCTCCACCAAGATTCAGCACAGGAGGATGGAGAAACCAGCCCTCACGAGAGAGCGGCAGACAGAGAGGTCGAGGACGATAATTATATGCCTCCCTCCGAAGACGAGGCAAGCCTCGACGACGACGAATACGTCGTGCCAGAGGATCCCGTCGAGCAAAAGCGTTTTCAATGCAGGCTTATGGCCATGGCAAGAAGCCTTAAGAAAAAACAGCAACAGCTTAGGGCTGATCAAGATTTGCTAGTCGACAGATGGACTGAAGTCCTTGCGGCCGAAGAGCATAAACTCGAATGCCCCTCCAAGAGCTACCCAAAGCGCAGGTTGCTACCCCGATTAGAGGGGGAAGCACTTGATGCGGCCGACCGGCCACCTCGTGGTCGCAATAGAGAGGCCTCTCGGCCCTCCACTCAAGCGGCACCCCGTACCAAGGCGCGGGAATATGCGCCGGACTTACGAGACATGTTGGAGGACAAGGCAAGGCAAACAAGATCGATCTACGGATCGCGTGGGCGCCCCACGGCTCGAAACGGTAACAGTCACGCCGGCCACACATTCGGGCAGGCCGAACATAGTAGACAAGGCTCATTGGAGCTACATCCTGATATAGCCCAGTACAGAGGCACCGCACACCCACTCTGCTTTACAGACGAAATAATGGATCATCAAATCCCCGAGGGTTTCAAACCCATAAACATCGAATCATATGATGGCACAACAGATCCTGCGGTATGGATCGAGGATTATCTCCTTCATATCCACATGGCCCATGGCGATGATTTCCACACCATCAAATACCTCCCACTCAAGCTTAAAGGACCTGCTCAGCATTGGCTTAATAGCTTGCCAACAGGATCAATCAGCTGTTGGGAGGACCTGGAAGCCGCATTCCTCGACAATTTCCAGGGCACTTATGTGCGACCC